ATATATATATTTATATAATGAATGTAACATTCTTTACAATAACTGCTGCTGGCTTTGCCTATTACCGTTCTACAATTGACAACGAATATTTATTCTATAATTTGACATTAACTATCTACCTACGCAAGGCATCGATGACATAATTTATTTAACAGTTCTGTTGTCTAAGTTATATCTACATGTAGGGGGCCCCTAAGCTACAAACGACGACAAATTATTATTTTTAATGCTAATTACCAATAACATCGCAAATTATAAGGTACACATATTTGTATGACGTTGTGCCGTAGAGCCTCATAAATATAAAATACATATAAAATTGTAAACGGCTTTATGTAGAAAAACGTAAACTTATGCGATAGTTCAATAAAGTACAAAATACGTTCGTCGTTGTGTGTTTTTAATAACTTTGTTAATTTCAAGAATTGGCGCATCATCTCTCTATTATATATTTTAATCTTTCAGTTTTCTTCCTCTACATATCGCTCAAATATTTTTATAAGCGTGCAGGGGCCCTCATTAAAAATCGGTGGTCAATCGTGTGGATAAATTCTCTAATCCTCTAATAGTGTTAAATATATATGTTACAAAAGCACCATGATCTAAAATTAAAAACATATAGGGTGTTTTGTGTATTATCTAACAAATATATAGAACGCGGAATTAATATAAATTTGTTTTTTTAAGTATATTTCGTTTAAAGAAGCTAAAATGGCAATACAAAATGCAGTTCAAACATTGTCACATTTTAATATAAAACTTAATATATGTTTAACACCCTATACATTTTGACTACTTATATGATTATGTAATATTAAATATTTACAATTTTAAAAATTAGTTTCATGTATTTTATATAACGAAAAAAACATTGACATATTGAGATATTCGGTTAAATGAATACGTCTTTATTTGTCGCAAATATTACTTATTGCATATATGAATGATGAACAGTATTTATGAAATCTCTGTATATATACAGCATGTATGTTTTGTGGAATATTTCCCAATTGTGATTATATTGATCCCAAAGCTGCTTCTTAAATTTTAAGCTTATATATAAACCTAGCATAATCACAGCAATTTGTGTAAATCCGAAATGGAATATTTACTCTAGAGGAACATGAAAAACAATATTGAAAATATTGAAACACCATTTTCCTGGCGTCAATTGTTAATTTGTTAAATTGTCCAAATCAATGCTAAACTATACACGAGAAATTTGCTGGATAATCTCGAGAACAATAAATACACTTGATGAATATGCAGTCAATTTCCACTTGTGCTTTGAGATCAAGAATAAATTGAATAGCAATCTTTTTGCATGTTATTTCATCACGCCTTCAATTTCTATATGTTGAATTACTGCTCATTTACCAAATATTCTTATCCTTTTTTTCGTCTTATTGCATATTTATAAATTAATACATTTGAATAGCAATGTATACTGTTAATATTCAAAATATTCGTATCGACACATAGTGAAACATATCATTAAATTTTTTTTACGCAATACAAGCAGCTATTTTGAATTATTTTCTGAATAGGAAATTCTTTGCGCTGTTATATTTGCTATGCTATTAAATGGACAAATGGACACAGATACCGAAATGTTGAATACAAGCTATTGTATTATTACTTAACTGCAAACACATATACATATTATTATTTAGCCACAAACACATAACAGCCTGAAATAAGGATAAACATTGAAATTTCTATGTGCAAGACAGAAACCGCATAGATGAGATGAATTGAGTGATATTTGCTATTTAATTTTAATGTATATTATGTGTTGCGATTGTATCTAGTAACAATAGTGCTTAAACATGGATTATCTCAGACATAGAATGGTGAAAAAATGGAAAAGTATATTATAAAATAGTGAATATATAAGACATATTTATGCTCTGTTATTAAACAGTGATAGTGTATACAGAAGAAACACAAACTAGACGCTTGTTTTAGAATTCTATTTTGTGATTTTAACTTGTCTTGTTTTTACCACATATCAAATACTTTGCACGTTTCTGTAAATTTGTATTCTTTCATATTATATGATATTAATTTACATAAGGAATTTCTTTCTCCGATATTAAAAATTTTAAATTATAGTGCACGTTATTAAATTCAAGCCAATGTTAAATTAAACATAATTCCTACAGCATTGTAGTCCTTCAGTCTTTCTCTCATTTCAATTAACTGTCATGGTTCAATTCTTTATGCTCATTATAATATATTGGATTGAACCGAAAGTTCGTGCTGTTTTTTCGGTCTTTATCTGTTAGCAAAAAACGGAACGAACTTTCCGTTCAACTTAATACATGCAGATTTATGTTTTTGATGATTAGATTGCTAATAATGGCTAATAACTGGGATAATAATAAATCGTTCCTGCGTCTTTCATTGTCATATACACAGTTTTAACGTTATATATGTAATGCGATGTGAATTGTATCGTAGTCGTAGTATAAGAGGAAAGAGACGGTTGGTCCTCTTTTATTGATATTGGATTTAATAGCACATGCGCGCGTTGTACGTGAAACTTGTTATTTATATCCAAATTTCGTATTCACTTTGATTTTTCACAAACATAATATCTTTTAACATAGTTTTCAGCAAAATTTCTTTCATTATCCCTTTCATTGAACTCGAGACTCAATTTACACGCTAACTATTTTATGCAATGCACAACAATAATGATTAAAAAGCTTGCATTTTCTAGAGAGTTTATACCTTTTTATATATCGAATTTTACAAATAACAAGTAAACAATGTACAATATATACTACTTTATACTTTATACAACGCCGGACAGCAGCTATTTTTAGTGATATAAGAGCTCTGTCTTAATTTACAATTATTGTTTAGCAATTGGACGATTGGGATGTTACAAATCCTTCATTTCGTTTCATTTATCGAAATATACATCCAAGAGGATTCGAAACAAACCGTTTTTACATTAACAAATTGTTGTTGGACCTATCATCTCATGCAGGTTGAAGACAGTGTTCTGGTGTGCATCACTTTAACAACACTTTCTCACTTGATTTCTTTTACACTATTTTTTGACCATTCATCCGCCAAAAAATAAATATGTGAGATATGTTGCCAATTGGTGAAATCAAACTTTCATAATAATGTATCACATATATATACACCCAAGCAGTGTCATACTATATAATACTATTAGAATTATTTTCTGTGCCTTAATTTCTAATGTCATTCGTCCAGTAATATAGATCATACTAATAAATCATGAAAAATTGAAGCTAATATCAGATCAAAATGAGAATATAAATTAATGACAATTTGTACAAATTAATTTATAAAAATCGCGTATTTTCTTATAGCAAAATAACTTTGTGTCAATTTAAATAATTATATCAAAAATAAAATTAACATATTACTTATTTTTACGAAAACAATAGTAATAATAATATAATAAAAAGTTTAAATAACCAAAGATACAAATAAACTTATTTACATACTTATATACACACTATTATTGCTTCAATGTTACAACATTGATAAATGGATGCAAGATTTCAATCAATGTATATCCAATCTAACCCAGCTTCATCACAAAAAATCCAATTAAATTTAAGTATTCCACCCTAAAATAATAAATATTATTCACTTAAAATATCTCTGTGATGAATTATTTGACTTTTATATATTTGGTTTAATTTAAATTCTCTCTCTTTCTGAATTATAATGACACAATAAATTGCATCGACAAAAGAATGTGCAAGATTTAATATACTTACAATGCTACTTCATGGCAAGGGTCTGCTTAAGATGGCGTATGAGGTGACTACCAACATCATGTACCTCAGGCCATTGCTTTAGCACAAACACTATGCCAAGCACAACGAATGTGGTTGTTAATATACGCACCCTACACATGAAACAATGAGGCTTAGTACAGCTGTAACAAACATGCAAAAACAAAATAGAATAATGAATGAGCAAAATAAAATCAGATTTAAAATCACATATTGTAATATAAAGATGAATGAAACTTGAAGAAGAGAAAACAAATTATAATTTAAGAGAAAAAGAAAGATTATTGTATATTGGTATCTTATTTATATTGCACATTTTTTAAAACTATTATGTGTAATTATCTGTCAAAATGATAAGAATATATAATTTAAATATTCCATTGATGAATAAGTCATTATTACAATGAAAAAAAAAACAAGCTATTTTAATAACAATTTTACCTAGTTCTGAGGAAAGGCATCATAATACCAGCACCTGTTGCAACGAGAAGCAAAATAACTTGCAATACGGTTAATACTACATTTATCAATTTTACAACCAATGCTCTTGCATTGCTATTATCTAGACCCTCCAATGTCACGTATTGCTGGTGCTGTTGTTGCTGATGCTCCATTTTACAGATTTTAGTTTGACAACTCTCCAACATCTCGTGTATATCACGTAGTCTATCCTCGCTTTGATATTGCACTTTTTCCTCCATATCTGTAATAGTCTGTTTCAAGTTTTCTACTTCGTTTTGATGTAGTTCCGTTAAGTCGTTAATCTGCTCTTCCAAACGTTCGCATCTGAAACGTTCTTCTTGGAGGGAATGGGAAAGATATGTCACTTCCTGTTGTAATGTCTAGATAACAAAAAGAAAATTAGTTATATATTTCTATCATTACAAAATTACACATGTAATCTTTTTACCTCACATATACAATCTATTTAAAATATCAGCTCAAATGTACTGAAATGATCAATTATACAATCGAGATTGAATACAAACCTTTACGCTATCTAATTTTTCCCTCATTTGGTCAAGATGTTCTCGGTGTTCTTGTAGTTCTGCGAAAATAGATTTGAGACTCAAGGCTGCATTATTACTATGACAAGCGTGCGGCTGTCCTCTACTACCAGGACCACTTTCACTGGTCACGCTAGAACATTCCGATCCTTCCTCGGACGGGAATTTCATAGCCGCTGCGCTTTGAGTAGATCCTAGACTGCATCCACCAGGAAGTGTGGCTGAACCATGATGAGTTTTGTCTTCTTCAACGCTAGCGTTATCACCATTACCTGCATGCGGTGTATCGTTTACATAAAAAGTCGAGCCATCTGTAGAGACACAGAGGTGGCAAGTTAGAATGTTATCCAATACCAAAGAGTTTAGCCTTTCGAGAAATGAAAATTATTTTTATTATTTAGTTTCCTTACATAAGTAAAACGCATAAATCACTCTTTTTATTATTTTAGATAATATCTAAAACGCAAAAAATTTTTGTTTTTTATTATAATAGTATATATATATTATAACTGTGATTATTTGATAAATTATATATTTTAGCATTATTTTTTTAAGTATTGGATAACTGGTAACTAAAGAAAGACAAATACATAATTACAGAAGAAGCAACTGCAAATTACATAATATCTCACTACATAATAAGATATATATATATTTATATGTGTGTGTGTGCGTGTGTGTGTGTATGTATACATACATACATACATACATACATACATACATACATACATATACATACAATATATATGTGCAACATAAAAGACAGGATGAAACTATATTTAAAAAAATAGAAGAAATAAATTTCTTGCCAACAAAGAAATAGAAAGTTAACAAGCAAAAGTATTAAAAGTAAGAAATACATTATATAAACAAGATAATTTTTAATATCAAATACTTAAGATATAGCGATATTGTTATCACTTAATTTTGTAAAGAAGATAAGAAGCTTGAAGCAGAGCCGAAAAAATACTGTGTGCAAAAAGCATATAATAAAGTGTAACAAAATTCTTTCGCCCCTTGACCAACACATTACTTACTACTCTCAACTGCCATGATAGCAAAAATGTTAAAAAATGTTTATTTTCTTCTATTTAACATATTTTACATTTAAATAAATGCTAAAAAAATACTTTTATATTGTAAAAATTATATAAAATTAATTATAAAATTCACTAGAAATTTATTTATTATTACTTACGTGATAAAGTATTTATGTTATCAGCACTTCCAAATTTATTCTTAATAAGATGAGCAAACTCTCTTGGTTTAGACATTACAGTTCTGCAATAGAGAGAATACAATTGTAAATATAAATAAGCACAATATTTTTATATAATACCTTTTGTAAACTTTTAAGAAAAGAGTAAATATGTTTTATTAATTTTAAGATGCAGTAATATTAATGGTAACATGATTCTAAAAAGTTCTGCGATGAATCAAAGAATAAAAATATAGTTTCAGCACATTTGGGTATGGGATCTATTTTTAAATGAACATTCACCCTGAAAAACCAGTGATTCCGTCCCTTATGTTTCCTCCCACATGTCTGAAATGTAAGTCCAAATTAGCCAAAGATATTATTTTTATAATATCTATTTTATAAGAGATATACAGTAAAATTTATATCCTTCACAACAAATAGGCATTTTTCCCTAGATATGAAAAAAAAGTTAATCACACTTGTATTTGAAATAATCATCTATTTAATACTCACTTAAGTCCTTGTCCCATATCGCGTAACATTTCTCTCGGTTGTCTATGACTCGCGGGTGCGCCATTCATTTCGTAATTTTTCAATTTTTTCATGTAACTGTCTAACTTTTTTTGTAGCTGTGAAATACTATGAGCCGATTTTTGATTCTTCTTCTCAAATACTGTTTTAATCCTAGTTAATTGCTGTTTGTCCGCATTAGCAGCCAATTTTAAATATTCATTGACGTTTTCTATAAAAATCAAATAATACATAATTTGTATATATAAGAATAAAAAATACATATCAAAACAAGAAAGGCAGATTCTTTGTATTTTTGTATATCTTCTTATTAGTTAAATTGTGAAATGTTTACGTACCATCCCGCGTGGTTTGTTCTATTCTTATCAATTCTCGCGTCTTAGCGATTTTACTTTGTATATGTTCAATAGCTTGGCGAACTCGTGTTGCACTAGAGTCAACATCGTCAGCTATCAATTCAGAAGAACCATTTGATAGGAACGATTGGGTTGCATGGTATTGTTCCTATAGATATATTAAATACATGAATATCACGCACACATACATATACATGAATCATTTAAAAATGTTTAAGATATAAGTCATATATATAATGTTAAATATAAGAACATGTTTTTCAAAACAGAGTTTCAACATACTAGAAACAAATTACCTTATATTCTCTGTTCTAGTAAGAAATCAAATAAAACAAAAAGTTTTTAAATTAATTTTGAATATAAATAGTTTAGATATGAAACCAATATAGTCTTGCTGAAAACATTATGTGCATAGTCATACTATTTGACCTATGACCTAACTGTATATAAATAGTTGATAATCCACTACATTAGTACATGTACAATATTATATAACTCTTTTTATGTAAGAATGCAAAGTCATGTTATATGCTCAATACACATATACATTAGGCGGACAAAGTAACAATTTTCCTGCCTGCCATTGATATAAACGTTTATTATCTCATACAGTACTTTATTAAAGAATTAAGATATTTCTTCAAATTCTCGAATCAACGAAAACATTTTAATACATACTCCTTCGTCATCAGTCGGTGGATGAATATTTGGCACAAACTCCTCTGGTTCGGCAGTGTTTGTAATATTACTTGATTCATCCATAGCATCTCCCATGCGAATTAAATTTCCTGGTGATCTTTGTCTACTGCTGCTCTTCATGCTGAGGCTACTTCCTGTACCACCACCACCGCCGCCGCCACTACTTCCACTGCCTGTGCTACCCTCGCCTGCTTGAGAACTAAAACACATATTTAATAAATGTCACTTCTATCTATTATTTTCCTTATTTTTTCAAATTAGCATTTAATGTATTGAAATTAACACAAAAATATTATACACAATAGTATTATACACAAATAAATAAATTATGAATATATATATGACTTGTTGGATGGTTGTTACATATTAAATATGTAATAAATAAATAATATCTATAACTATATTGTTTAATAGAGTCTTACATTGAAACATTACGCAATCTCGAAGTATGATCCAAGCTCACTGTTGATGACTGCTGATGTAGTTGGGATGTCGAAGGCGCTCTACTAGGAGATCCACTGCGCGAGCTGTTCTTACTAGAAGTGTTTACCATCAAGCTTGCCATGCCTTCCTTTCAAGAAGGTTATCATTTATCCCTTGTTCTATCTATCGCTTTGTTTCAGCAAGTTCACACCTAGATAAAGCAAATTATATAAGTATTACAAAAAAATTATGGAATATATAATAGTATAATTTTATATAATTATTATGCTATTAATTAATACAAAATCTATTATTAATCCATTTATTTTAAAATTGTATATTCAATAAATATCAATATTTAATAATTTTAAGTTGAAAGAATTAAAAGATACAATTCTAATAATTAATATCAGGAATTAAAGAATGGATAATCTAAGAGATTCCTCATGCTTCCTAGTATTATTAGATAAAAGTCAGTATCAGCAGAGTATATCTCTTCTATGATAAACTTTATCTTGCTACAGTTTATTATGATTCATAGGCTTTTCCTGAGAATAAACCAGTGATAAAATAATCTCAATTTCAAAGATTTATTTTAATACATGTATAATTTTATTTTATTATTGATATTTCTTAATCTTTTTGCATTATATATATATATATAAACATTTATTAATTAATTTAATCTCACTATATCATTAATATAAATATATTTTAATGTTAATTTTCTGAAACAGTATACTTTTTTTATATATTCCTTCTATTACAACAATATAAAACATAAGGCATAACAAGTTACAGAACAAACATTCCATTGTGCCGAACCCCTGTGCCTATCTTGAACAGCAATTTTCTCTCTCTAAGAGGTTACATTATCTAATTTATATTTTAAATATACATTGAGCACAGTCTGTGTATCTAAATTTAGAATGTAGGATATGTCACAGAGAGATATGTCAAAGAGATAAATTCATATTTAATTTACAATAACAATTATTTAAAAGTCCTGCTTAATGTGCAAATAATAATATAACACAAAAATATTGCTGTGTTTTTGTTTTAATTATACATTTAAGATTTGTACAAAATTTCTAAAAATCTTTTTAACTGAATTGTATTAAGAAAGAAGTTTTTACTTAATATTGATGTTATATGTACTATAAATTACTACATCATTTAATTATATCAAAATTAAATTTAACATATTAAAATTTGTTTTCCTGTTACTGCCTGCAACAATAAATAAAAAGGAAAAAAATGCATAAATATTTTTCCTACATTGCTGCTTTTAATTCAATCTGATTGAATGAATCAATGAATCATTGAATACGTTGCTATTATCATGACTGTGATTACTAATGTAGATCTAGGATTAAAAATGCATAGTAAACAACATGACATTACTGAAAACTACAGTTCAAAGGATACAAGCTTTTCAAGATACTATATTCATCTCGTTCATCTTGCTGTTTAATCATTTTATAAATACATATATAAGATATAAGATTTAAAAAAATAGAAAACTTTAAAGCATGAGAATTGAGAGTAAAGATATTTATACTCTCTCTTTATAAAATTACATAAAAAGTAACCAAAACTCTCTTAATTAGAGAATGATAAAATCAGGGATGCAAGCGATTAAATTTTAGGATATTCATCGAATCTGTCATTCATCTGAGCGACAAAAAAATGCTCGCATTCGTTACCATACTTGATGTAAGGTAAACGAAATTAAACTTGCCGATCACGTGGTTGGCGAAAGTCTCGGCGATGTTCCTTTTTAGACCACGAGTACCAAGAGTAGCTGGTTACACAATTTAACAAAACTGTACAACTCTGTACAAACGTACACAACGTTTCGCGATAGTAATACAAAGCACAGAGGTGATACACTTTGCACGACATACGAGACAGTTCGCAGGACGATTGTAAAACGCATTCGCGTAACGGCGTTGCTTTTGCGTTACTCGACGATCTGAAAGAAATGCGAAGTTCATGGACTTTGCTCTCCTGTCAATTTCGCTTGTGCACGTACTGTGAACCGCAAAGTAGTTCGCACTGGTATCGATGAAAAATCCACACCGTGTATTAACATAAGTAGCGCGCGCGTTTATAGGATCGGCGAAACAATAACGTCGATTTCTCGCTAGGCTGTCTCCTTCTCTTACGTTACAGGTTGCATT